TGTTATGCTAGCCTTCTGCAAAACCAAGAAATGCTCAAAAGTCAAGATTTATTGCCTATCAGCATTTTCAAACAGAACGGTAGAATTCTAAAAGAGCGCACAAAAGTGAAGCAACACTACTCTCTTCCTCTCATCTTTTACCTCATGCAATTGATGCAAAGCAGAGTTCGAGGGTCCCTGTGATTGACTAAAGAAAGAAAAAGGTTCAATGTAGTGGGAAAATGGTGGGAATCTTTCATCTTTCACTATTCAGGTGATCCCACCAAGGCTTTTTAACTCTCTCAAATCACATAGTATAATACATGGTTGGAGCCCGGAAAGGGCTTTTGCTTCAATTTTCTAGCTTTTGTTGTTTCTCCTGTTCTCTATACACCTCGGTATGTTACTCTATTCCTATCAAATTGTCCCTTTCAATTATTAATTTGTCAACTTTTTTTTAGAAAAAAAAAATTGGTTTTATTGAATTGTTAAACATATGATGTGTCTAATTTCATCATAATTTCAATGACCAGTGTACACTTAAGAATTATTTTGATCCAACTAAATAGTTCAATTTTACGAATTTGATACAAAAAATGAATAATTAAAGAAACGAATTTAGTTCGACATAGTCAAGAGACTAAATAAATCCACATCTCTCTATCCTATATCCAAATTTGTACAAGCTTTAAGACTAATATGTATCAAATGAAAATGTACTATAGTTTTCTTCCTCCGTTTTCTTTTTTTTTTTTTTTTGGTGAGCATTTTTATGCCTATATTTGTTATACCTATCAACATAGCCGAGCACCTTTTTTATGATCCCGATGTGGATGTACATCATATATGTTTTAAGCAAGTTTTCTTTCTTCATTTCTTGCCTTGTTAGGCTTCTGTTCTCATTAGCCCGTGCTACTGCTGGAATATTGGGATGTGGAAGTTTTAACCATATCAAGTTACCAGAGAAATCAACTCAACAAGAGAAACATACCATGGATTTTCAGCAAAATGAAGTGCATACCAATCTTGATCAGTTCTGGCCTGTCACTCATCCAATAGAGCCCTTAGAGGAAGATCAACCTGTGAAATGTCCAATGCCACACACTTGTGTAGTAAAAGTGAGTTTATTTCCTTTTTGCAATACATAAGATGTTCATTTTGTTAATTACAGAGATGACTATGTGCTCCTCCTTTTTTTTCTAATTTTTTTGTGAACCAAATTGTACATATCATTCAAATAGAAATATATTGAGAAGTGATGAACTTTTACAAGGCAAAAATTTGAAGAAACTTCACCATGCTACCCGATTCCTCTATTTCAAATTTTGGCTTGTTTGAGTGATAATGAATACCAATAAAATTCTGGCTTATTTAAGGGCCAATTTGTCAAATGGATTTCCGACACAAGTATGGTCATGTGGTCATGAACCAACCCTGGATTTTATTTTTGGATTAAGTTTAGATACTGTTATAGATGCTACTAAAATTATGTCACGTATCATTTTAAATTTTATTTTGGGTAATACTTTAAAATTTTATCTAATACTTATACTCATTATCCATTTCATCCTTAGTTTCATGGTATTCAGTATCTTGAATACCAAGGCTCATTGGAAAGCTTTCCTCACTATATTGGACATTTTCCGGCCGAACTTTTTTTTTTAAAATAAAAACATTATTATTCATTAAATCTGCATTAATCGTAGAAATTACATCAACTACACACAAATACAAATAAATCTGAAGAACAAAACCAGATACTACAGATTTACAAATCAAGAGAATATTACACTATGTTGATAATAAAATGTTTTCCATTTGTAGGATAATGAAGAAAAGGAAGAGCAGTTTTTTTCAGAGACTTTGAGGAGAAAGGCAAAACTTTTAGAAGTTACAGAACACAAGGAGATGGTGGTGGGAAGAGATCATCCTCCCCGTGCAGTGCGCAGAAGGCATCACATAAGGAGTAACAGGAAAAATACTGCAGAAAGTTCCAATGCACCTCTCTATCCTTTCCCTTCCTCCAAGGACATGATCTTCACTAAGTTGGGACATCTTTACTAAGTGGAAATTATTTGCATTATCTAGCATTTTCAACTATATAAAGCTGTATATTAATGTATTAGCATCATATACATATATGTTCAACTCCGTTGCCATATTTGAGCACTTGGTATTTTTGTTCTGTGGTTTATTATTCACATGAATGTATCAAGTAGTTGAAATTTGCAGAATTTTATGAGTAATTTATCAGAGACAAAAAGTATAATTTGAAGGGTTGATGAATGTGTGAAATTTTATGAATAATTGACCAGAAACAAGCATCCATAATCAAGGGTTGATTAATTCATGAGCCTCATAGATTTTTGGCTAAAATCAACGAACAGGATATTTTGATTTGCAAAACGTGGGGACTCGAATCACAGGCTCGACCAATACTGCCCGTGACTACCCATTAATGTTCATGGGAACTTGGCATACCCAAGCTACATCTCTGGCCAGATTGTGGCTAACATAACGTTGCACCGTTTCATGTAACAGCTGTTAGAAGCTACTTACACAGGAGCCAACCTAAGGCTCCTCCTATAGTGATTAATACTCCGCGATTTCCCGCAATCCGTGCCAGTTCCTTAGGTTATAAATAGTAAGGGTACATTTGATAAAATTGAAATTTGAAAATATTAAATTATTAAATTATTAAGTATTAAATCAAATATATTTGAATGTATGTTACATTTACTTATCACTTATTTTTTGGAGCAAGTTTTGTTTGGAAAATTCAGTGCCACTTAATTAATTTAGATGTTCAATTTTTTATTATCAAACGGATTGAACATAGTAAGATTTGAATCCATTAAATTTTAAATACTGAACTAAGTTATCAAATAGGATCATAGGGATTAGAGCTACCTGGGGACAAGTCCCAATCCTGTGTCTTTTTGTGTCATTGTGTTTGTAGGTAAGAAGCTCAAAACGAACAGCTCGGTTCTATTAGCTCCTTGCCCGCACACAAAATGTTATGAATTATTTACAAGAAACATAATAAATAACGAAGGACCGATGAGTTTGTGAAGTTTTATGAATGATTGATCAGAAAGACCATGTAGGTTCGTTAAATTGTTTCCTAGAATCTATAAATTGGAAAATTTTCTTTCCTTCTATTTTGGCTAAAGCACTTGGATCGCACCAATGACGTCTCCCCGATGTTTTCCTCATTCCTTGCCCCAGCTCCATTAAGCGATTTGTGGTTGTTTTTGGGCTTGATAGTGGGCATTATGATTGGGCCTCCACAATGGGTTTAAGGGTCCTAAGTGATTGGCAGTTAGGAACCTTTGAAGAAAAAATCTTTTGAAGCAGAAAAAAGGAAGAAAAAAAATTTGGTAGGAAACTCATAAGTAATAACGATAATAGGACATTTAATAAAGTAATTAAAATGATTCAAGTACAAATGAAGAATTAGAGCTTACTTTAATGATATTTGTATTAAAAAAATAACAAATAACATCAAACCAAATAAAAGTAACATAGCAAGATAAAGAAAAGGGATAATTTCAGAAATCTCAGGAGGTTTCTAATAGTCTCAATCACCTCCCCTAAATTTTGCATAATATCAAATACCTCCCCTGTCAGGTTATTGGGCCCTATTTGTGATATCATCGATGATGAATTGATAGATATACCCTCATAACTTATGATATATTTCGAAACTATTTTGAAAGAATTAGTTAAATGAGTAATGCAAATGATTAACCAACTTAACTACAATTTGGATGCAAAACTAATAGCTAATATCAGTTAGGGGAAATGGTGCCAAAAAAGGGTGCTCTTTTGGTGATTGAAGTGACAGCAGGAGGTACAGTGATTCTTTAGCCATATTGAGGAAAGCAGAGAGAGGGGGAGAGTTGAAGTGGGAATTGCTCTCCTGGAAGATGTGGAAAAGCTGAGTAAAGAAGAACATCTCAAGCAAAGCAAGGTTAGACTCTACAAATATTTGTTGTAAACCATTTGAATGTTTTATACTTTAGTTATGGATGTTGAGGTTGTTGTCATTGATCATGTTTTTATAGTTATGAAACATGTGTTAAGGCAGTTGTCATTGATCATGTTTCTATACTGTGTTCTGTGTGAACATGGCTACGTTTATTGGCTTTACCATTACTAGTTTGTCGAATTTGCTGTTGATGTTACGACTATTGTGGTTTCAATGTAATGGAATAAACATGTTTTTGCGAATGAAATTTGAGATAGGGACTGTTAGTTGTGGATGACCAATAGAATAGAAAAAGTGTTAAATTATGATATTTTCCTAATTTTTGGGAATGATAGCTATTAATTGTAATGTGTATTTGTGCACCCGTGATGATCATTTTTGTATCATTCAAAAAAAAGTTGTGTATTTGAAACTAGAAGAGTTGGATGGAGCTGGTATTATATGTCTTGTTTAAGATTTGTATAGTATCCTATATTGTCAAACTTGAGACTGAAACATAAAAGACTACAATTTCTACAATTGTAGGATGGTGATTGGTGGTATTCATGGTATTGTAGTCCATTGTACGGGGAGAAAAGTACGAATTCCTAATGTAGATCCTCAAAATTACTTATATATTAATCTGTTGAATGATGTTACTGAGAAAGGTTTGCATGAAATGCCTGGGAATGTTAATTTTCTGCTGCCCATGAGGTGTGCAATACCTAGAATAGAGGGTTATATAGACGTGAATGATAATGAGGCAATACATGAAATGTTCAAGGTGCATCAAGGACAACTAGTGATCAACATAGAAGTGTTCAGCATGGACATTATCCCTGCTGAACAGGGTGATATATTGTTAAACAGAAATGTTGCAGGTGATCATGAGAATTTAGAAATGCAAAAAATCCATGTAGCCAGCAAAAATATTGAAGTTCATGACATCAACTCTGAGGATGAGTATGGCTTTGAATCTAGTTCTGATGAATCATGGGAACAAGGCTTCGACGGTAACAATGAAGATGATATAAGTGAATAGCATGTGACAATGTCCCATAGTGACACTAGTGATGATGATTTTTCTAAATTTGATGATAATGAAACCAGTGAAATTGTCCCAGATTCGGAATCAACGCAAGAAATTGACCCTTTAAGAGAACTGTTGAGATCTAAGATGTGGACTTACAACCGAAGGGAAGACATAGAGTTCAAGAAGTGGCAACTATTCACTAATATTGATGCATTTCAAGCAGATTTAAAGCATTATGTGATCCAAAAAGGATTCCCCATAAAAAAGTTAAAGAATGAGAAAACTAGGTGCACTGCCATTTGTGCTATTGATGGATACAAGTGGAGGATTCATGCCTCACCTATTGCTGATTCAATAACATTCATGATTAAATCATATAGTTCTAAACATACTTGTGTGATGGATAACAAGAATTGTGAGGCCACCTCCGATTGGATGGCCAAGAAACTTGTTACTCTAATGAGAACCCATCCTCACATGTCCAGAAAGGGTATTGAAGCTGAGATGCTAAAGTTTGGTGTTCATCCTAGCAAATAGCAAGTGTATAGAGCCAAACAAAAAGCCGGAGAAGAAATCGAAGGGACACATGCTGAATCATATAGTAAGCTGCCAAAGTATATTGTGCTTTTAAGACAACATAATCTTGGAAGTATATGTAAGATTCATTGTGATAGACCAAATATACTAGTTGAGCCAAGATTTCTGAGACTTTTTGTAAGTTTTAAAGGACAAAAGGATGGATTTCTGACTGGATGTAGACCTTTTGTTGGTTTTGATGGTTGTCATTTGAAAGGCAGTTTTGGTGGAGTATTGCTAACTGTTGTGGCATTGGATGCCAATAATAGCATATTTCCCATTATATTCGCTGTTGCTGAGGTCGAAATCAAAGAGACACAGTGTTGGTTCTTTCACTTTTTTGAAGAATTCTTTGGACCATTTCATAACAATGTTCCCTTAACTTTCATGAGTGATAGACAAAAGGTATTACAGACTATTTATCTTTAGATTTCTGAACAGAAATGTTGTACATTTGTTATTTCACCTAATTGGTTTTGCTTTTAATATAGGGACTCAACCTTGCATATGAACAATTGTTGCCATATGCCACTAGAAGATACTGTTGTAAACACATTTGCAATAACTTCAAGGCTCAATTTCCTAGAATGTTATTAAACAGTTTCTTCTGGAAGGCTGCTAAGAGTTATGATACAGTAGGCCACACGAAGCAATGCAGAGCATTAAAGACATCAATGTAGAAGCTTGGAGATACTTATACAAGATTCCACTCTCTGCTTGGGCTAGGCATGCATTCTCTACAGAAATGAAATGTGATCATGTTACCAACAACTTTATTAAATCATTCAATGCATGGATTGGAGACTAAAGGGGCCAACCAGTATTGACCCTTACTGATGGTTTAAGGAAAAAATTTATGAAAAAGTTGCATAAAAGGTATCAAAAGGCTTGCACATGGACCTCTACTATCCCTCCAAATATCACTACAAAACTAAAGGGCATTGCTCAGACTTCCAGGAGATGTACACTACAGATGGTAAGTGAGGATGTATTTGAAGTTGGTGATGCTGATAGATCATTTATAGTGAATTTGAAGAACAGGACATGTGACTGTGGTGCTTTCCAGTTGTAAGGACTACCTTATAAGCATGCTGCACTTGGAATTATATACAGAAGACAAAAATTGGAGAACTTTTGTGATCCATGCTTCTTAACAGAAATGTATGTAAAGGCATATATTGGAACGATCCATCTAGTTCCTCACGAGAAGAAATGGCCTCCATTACCTGATGTTACACCAAAAATTGTCCTTCCACCACCATTGACAAGAGCTCCATGTCGTCCAAGAGTGAATAGGAGAAGAGGACCTGATGAACCAGCTCCATCTCAAACAAAAAGGTCAACCACTTTGAGATGTGGAAACTGCAAAGCTTTTGGTCATAATAGCAGAACATGCCAAAGAGCACCTGTGAGGGGAAAGAGTACAAGCAGCAATGGAACTCAAAAGGTTCAATCTATATAGTCAGTTAACAGAAATGCTTTTACTACTGCAGATTCTTATTTGCAATCAATTTTCATGGCAGGTTACTCAAAGAAGAGCAAAGCCGGGAAGGGGAATTGCAAATACAAGCCTTGAAGGATTTGTTTTATGGGTTAATGTCTTTTATTGTGAGAAAGCACATGAACTGATTTTGATAGATCACAGTGGTACTAACACATGAGTTATTTTTGTAGGTTCATGTTGGTGGCAGTGAGCCTGTTGTAGTTTCCAGTCAAGGTAGTAATCCAAGCCCGCCAACTCAATCTACTAGAGAAAGGTATTTGTTCTTATTGCCTGTTTACATTATGAGTTTAAGAATCTGTATAACCTCAAATAAATCTACACCATCTGTTACATCTAACCTCAGTAGGAAAACTTCAAAATTAACTCCTGAATCAACTGCAGTTGGCTACACTAACAGCTCCCGAGTAGAGACATCTCTCAACATCAATGGTTCAACTACTCATGACACACACAATGGTAGCAGTAGCTTTAGCTTGAGGTTTTAAGTTGGTACAAATCTTTTGTTATTTAGATGGTGCAGAAACAATTGTATTTGATTTTTTGACATTTACTAACACCTGAGTGGTGCCATTTGACGGAAAAGACACAAATTTGTTAACCACTCGTATCTTTTGTATTGCTAGAACTAAGATTTTGACAAATGTTCTGGACAGCTTATAGGACGTATGTATCTGCTGATGCCTTGGATATGGTTGTACTTTTGAAACCAAAAACTCTATATTTCCAGTGTTACTTCTAAGCTTTGTTTTTGTGTAATCAGTGCTTGTAGGATTCAATAACAACTGTGGTTGCTTATATGGACAATTTGGTTCTGCACAACTGTAAACCAGTTCTCATTTAACTTCTTTTACAATCAACATAAAAACATAAAAAGCTAAAAATACAAGGTTGATTATGGGCAACCATTTCACTATGGAATTTGACTGATCAACTTTGCCCATCTGAACTAGTTCTTCTCTTTGCACGATTGATTGTCTTTATCCTCTTTGACTGCTAGCTCACCCTCTTCAGGCCCTTCATACCACTGAAAGAATCTGCAATTTGAATAGCAGAAATAAAGCTTATTTGGATTCCTCTGACTCTTAGAAATTTTTATTATTGCTTTTCTATGACAACGACAATATCTATTTCTGATTGCAAATGAAGTTGGTGAATTCCATGATACATCTACATTGCTTGAAGAAGCCATCTATATTTGTCTCCACCTGGTTCAGCTTATTACTTCTTTTTTTGCTTTCGCTTTATCTCAACAACTACCCAACAAAATGCATTGTCATCTATGCAGCTTCATTTTGCTGTTATATAGACAAGCAGACAAGGCTACTGTTGCTCTTTACAGTTGGTTTAGCTGTGCACAAAGAGCCGTAGGCTTCTACCTTCCAAATTGCAATAGGCACCTTGCCTTTTCCATCAATTTCAGATACACCTCTTAAAATTTCATTGTTGTTAGATGGTTTGTACTATTCAACAAAAATTAAGTCACTAATGATAATCCTGAGGACAGATGTGGGATGGAGTATTTTTGTCTCTCCCGATACACACTTAAAATTGTTTGTGCATTTGAATCTGGTGAACTTTGATACACTCTACTTAGTTTTAGGGGAGATAGCTGATATTTTACAAAGTTTAGGGGAGGTGAGTGAGACTGTCAGAAGCCTCTCTGAAATTATCCCTAAAGAAAATTCAATAGATGTTAGTCTTATTACATGAATAATTACAGAGAAGTATTATCAGCCGATTAATCCATTTTAATTAAATTTATCAAGTTGATTAATTAACCATTTATTCAAACTATTTTGAGGCACGTTAAGCATACTTTCGATGAGTATTAACATGGCAAATATTACACTTGATTGACTTGCTAATTAATATAAAAATAACTCTAAGTTACCAAAAAACTAAAATTCAGGTTTCACGAATTTATTAGCGAGCTTCATACTTTTTAAATCCTCATTATATTCTTTAGATTCTTACATGCACTAACAATTAGTGTTTGTGTCACAAATTTAAAAGCACTCTTTTGTTGGTAATAATTTAAATATTCTCATTTTTTCCATAAAACAAAAATACTCCTTTAGTTTTAATTTTTTTGTTTGTGTCACAAATTTAAAAGCACTCTTTTGTTGGTAATAATTTGAATATTCTCATTTTTTCCATAAAACAAAAATACTCCTTTAGTTTTAATTTTTTTGTAATAATTTAAATATACTTATTTTTTGTACCAAACAAAAATACTCCATTTTTGCATTATCTTTTCTAGTTTATATAATGTTTTTGTGTAAAAGTAATTTTGTTCTACATATATGCTGCCAGAAAAGATAAAAAAATAAAAATAAAAATAAAATGGTGCCAAATAATCACAAGTTAAATTTGAAAAACTAAAAGAAAAAAAGAAAAAAAAATTCAAAATCTTCGTTTTCTTATATAACACTTGCATTAACTCCATTGCTGCAGCTCCAAATCCTCCATTCTTCCGCTTTCTCTTGGGGTAAGCCCAATTTTCCTCTTGCATAAACAAATGCCTATGTTTTCTGTTCAATTTTAGTCTCTAGTTTCCCTCGGTGTTTTGAATGATCAAATGGCAAGAAAAACTACAACAGAAATGCCCCACTGGGCTATAGGAGATTTTGTTTTTATTATAATTATTTTTAGTTTTGATTTATATCTGCAGAGAAAATTCACTCCGTTTAAAAAACATATGAATTAAATTTTTTGGGAGATTATTGTTGGTGGGTTTTCTCACAATTGCAAAATTAAGTTGGGTTTTTATAGCCGTTTTCCAGCTTAAGAAATTGAAAAATTCCAACTTTATGGTTTACATGTATATTGTACTTGTGCCCATTAATTCTGGTGCAGGATTTCAGAGTGTTGAGTGATTGGTTTGTACTAATGGTGAAGATTTTTTTTTTGGTGGATTTTACTCTATGAAGTTTGATTAATGGAAGACTTTATTTAATTTTTAATTTCTTGAATTGGAATTTTTTGCTCGCCGTGCCTATTTTCGTGTTTATTTTTGAAGTTATGATTCTGTTGTTTATGATTTATCAGGTTGTTCTTGAATTAGTTTTACATTGACATGGCTGGGGAAACGAAAAAGCGAAAAAGGAAGGGCGTTAGCGACTCATCCCAAAAAGAGAAAAGTCCTAAAAAACAATGCAGCAAGGGAGTGAAATTGAAACCGAAATTGCAAGTTAAGAGTGGTAATTCCGAATCGAAACATATGAAGAAATGTTTTGATCGTCTAGGTGAAGGGAAGGGTAATATCTCGAGAAGAAAAAGCATTGTTAAGAAAGCAATAATGCAAAAGACCAAGTCCTTGAAGAAGCAATCTGAATTAAAAACCTCTCGAAAGGATGAACCTGAGGTAAAAAACTCGAAGGATGGTGGAAAAAGGGATAGCAGTGATGTGGGCTTGCAGAAGGTTAAGAGAAGGAAAAGGCGAAAAAGGAGGAAGGAAAATCTGGAGCTTGATGAAGCATCACGGTTGCAAAGGAGGACAAGGTACCTGTTGATTAAAGTTAAGCTGGAGCAGAACCTTATTGATGCTTATTCTGCAGAAGGCTGGAAGGGGCACAGGTATTGTGCATTTATCCTCATTATTCTTCTTAAACGAATTTTCTGTCATCTAGTCTAGTCTTCTTTATTGATGGTTCCACTTTAAGTATCAAAGATGAAGGGAAAGAAAATGTGGAAGCATACTGAAATTTAAGGATTGTTCGATATTTATGCACCTGTGGAATGAAGCTCCATGATTGTATAATTCAAGTCAAGAAGTAAAATTTGGTCATTTGCTCTTCTTATTGACTTCAAGGGAATTAGGACATTTATCTGATAATTTGAGTCCACTACACCTTACAGCTGATTTATGAAATCCATACAAGAGTTTATGCAATTAGGAATGGACTCAATACTTGGCACAAGCAGGAAAAATAACATTGTAGACTTTTATGATAAAAATAAAAACAGAACTTACATGTTTTCTAAGGCGTTTCTGCTTCTGTTTCCGTAAAACTAAATCCCCATGTAAATGCTGAAGGTTGAATTTTCCTTTTTTTTCTGTGTCCTCCTTGTGAGTCATTTCTAAAGTGTTTTAGTATAAGTTTTTGATCAAGTTCGATCCTTTTCTTCTTTTTTTTCCCAATTTACCAATTCAAGACCCTTTACTGTTTGCTAGAA